CACCCCCGATCGGGGTGGGGGGGCCGATCGGGGATGGGGCCAGCCTGGGGGAGGACCCACAGGTGGTTGGCCAGCCGGCCTCGCCCCCTGGTTGAACTCCCACTTGAGGGGACAATTTGCATATTAGGGTTTTATTATATAGGATTCTATTTAGTAATAGGAATTTGGCAACAGTGTGGTATGTACAGAATATAAATACCAATTCTGATTTTAGAAAGGCCCTGGCAAACGTACATCTTTCTCTAATTTCAAATAAAAATCTTACATCTGAATTTGAAATAACTATGCCCATTCTCCTATAATAATTACTAAAATTGTTTTATGGTTATGTGGCAAGTTTACCAGAATTCTATTTAGATAGGATATTCTTCTCAGGAAAACTCAGTAATGTATATAATGAGACACAAGATCTTGATGGCATAAAGACCAAGAGAATCTGAATCACAGATCTTCTTGATTTTAAAGGTCTTATTGTTAAGGTGCTTTAAACAAGACGTGGACAAAATTAAATAGTACATGAAACAAAACAAAAATCTTTTTTGGTTTGCTCAGTTTTCTATTGGATCTCAATAAACCACATATAACCACAATGGAAAGTAAGTTCACCCAAAAGATCATTCAATTAACAGGAGCAAATCCATGGAACTTAGACACAAATGCTAAAACAAAATATTGTAAATTTTTATCAACAAGGAAATGCTCTTAGATAAACACTAATTAGGGAGTAGCTATGCAATTTAAAACTGTAAGTTGATGACTCTAAACTATAAATTGAAGAGACAGCAATTTTGCTTTAACTCTTTATAACTGTTCCTTCTAAAAAAGTGATTTTGGCAGTTTATCAAAGACAATACACCAATATTTTTAAAATGAAGTAATAAATACACTACAGGGAACAACTACATGCACCAGAAAGAACTGACAGCTCAGGAAATGTTTAATCCTACCTTCAAGAAGAAATAAATATGGAAGAATAAAGAAACCCCATACCAATTATACTGTTTCATATTAAAGATGTTTTATTTATAGTACACAATATCTCAGACTAAAAAATTGCCAGGAAGATCCACTATTATCGGGGCTAGTTTTCCTAACTTTTGTATCATCACTTTTCTTCACTACTAAGTTTATCTAGATTTTGCTACACTGAGAAATGTTCAATAATTACAAATGGTGAAGAGAATAGGAATGTATAATGTCTTAAAACCCAAAACCTCAGAATACGAAGAGTCTGCTTATTAAGGAGTGATTTTTGAAAAATATATTTTATAACATTTATTCATATGTAACCATTATTTATCTTACCTGCAAATGCAAAAGCTGCAACACCCAGTCCTACAGCTATGAAGCTTCTTGCCTATGGAGGAAAAAATAATAATCACTTACAGTATTACACACTGGGTTTTAAAAGTAAATCATTTTTAATAATGTAAATAATTATGTTAAATACTACATTTTCTTCAATTTCTTCTGACAACAGAACTTTAAAAAATCTGTAGTTAATGGGATTATATCTCCTGTGCACCAAATCAGTTTTCAGTGAAATAAAATAATTCTAGATTTTCATTTAATTTTCATAAACTTGAATTCATTCTAACCTAGAGCTTTTATATTACCTACTAGAGGCCCGATGACAAAAATTTTGTGCACTCGAGGGGGGGGGGGGGCCCCCCCCCCCGCCTCTTTGATGGGTGCTCCCCATCCCGCCCCGAGGCCCCGCCCATCTTCCAGCTCCCTCCAGCTGCTGACCTTGCTGCCGGATGGGCGGACCCTGGGACCACGAAGCTGCCCTGGACATTGGTGCCACCGTGGACTTTAGCCAAGGCCTGGAGGCTGGTGAGGGTGAGGGTCCGGGGTGTGGAGGACGAACTGCGGCCGTGGGGCGCCAGGGCTGACAGGACCTGCTTGGTGAAGCTTTCTTGTGTTAGGTTTCTCTGGCTTGTAGACAGGAGATGCCCCCCTAAATCTCTCTCCTCCCCTGTCTTTCCTGCGGGGACCTACTGCACCGTCCTGGTGGGTTTTAGTGGCTTGATCCTTTTGGTGAACGCATCTGTTTGTAATGTCGGGGTTCTCCCCCCCCCCTCCCCGCCCTCGGCTTTGGAACCCGGGAGAAGTGCTCGCGTCAAAGGTTGCTGCACACACCGCAGCTCTCCCGGGCTAGCACTTATTTTTTAGTCCTGCTTCTCATTTGGGCTGTTCTTGCTTGCAGAAAAGAACGTGCTCCGGGGACAGATGTCAGTGTAGGTCTCCCCGTCATCAAACTTAGGTGACGGTGGCTGCGAGAGGGGAGCAAGGCGTGTAGAGTTGTCGGCAGCGCCCAGCGGGCCCTGTGCCTTTGAAAAGCCTCGGGAAGGTGTCACCGCCGCGCTGCGCAGAGGAGAGGTGATGCGCAGGGGGCTCCCGCCCTGCGGGCCGGGCGGAGGACTGCACGCTAAAGCCAGGATACAGCTTCTTTATAAAAATAACCAGTTTATGGAGTAGGGCTGTTGATTTGACTTCCAAACGAGGAAATAAATGGTCATTATAAAAACAGCGTCAACAAATAGTATTGGATCAATGAGAAATGATAACTGCGATGTTGGTGACAACGATTCTAAGTGGAGATACTCTCTGGACAGTATGTGGTTTCATCGTAATCTGCGGTCTCTATTTTCAGTTTAAAGCAAAATTGCAGATTTGACTACCAGCTTGATGGCGTTTTACTTTTAAAAGTAAATGCTAAAATAAGCGCCGAGATTGATACCAGCATGGGTGTTCCCGCCGTTAACTGTTTACTTTTACAAGAATATTTTGTTAAATGTTTTTATTTTTATGTCTCTCATTACAGAATATTTATTATGTTTATTATGATGTTTATCATCTGAAGGTAGATATCATGGATTTTTCAAACTGAAATACTCTTTTTTTAAAAAATTATACTGAATGATTTAAATGTTCTTATATATTTGGAAGCATGTATAAAGCTTATAAATGTTAAGGGAGGTGTCTTGTACACAGAAACTGATTTAGTTAAGACTTTAAAGCCATTTAAAAGTTTATATTTTAACTCAGTGGGGAGCCCGGCTGAATGGAAGCCCTTTTCTGGGGTTTTGTTTAGCTTCTTATTTGCAACATAGTATATAGTTGCTTAGAGTTGCAACTGAGAGGCTGGCAAGTTAGGTGGGGAACGTTGGAGTCCGCAGTCACTGAAGCAAGCAAGCCTCCCTGTTTGCTTCAGTGCCTGGCTGCCGGCCGCCATCTTGGCTGACAGTTAATTTGCATATACTCACTGATTAGCCAATGAAAAGGGTAGCGGTCGTACGCCAATTACCATGTTTCTCTTTTATTAGTGTAGATTGCTAAAATGTTTTCTACAGACCATTCTTAATAGTGGGTTTAATATATTTATCTTCTATAAAGATAAAAGGCACATTTTTCCTACTCCATTACACTTGCAATACCCAATGGCATTTATTATATGTAAAAATTTAGTAAAACATTACATGCATGTTTAGTAAATATGTCAAACTTCCAAAAACTATTTAAAATGTAAATAATTTAAAAGCTAGTCTATTTCTACCTTTCTAGAATGATGTAAAAATTATTAAACAAGAGTCAAGAGTTCAGAATCTAAAGTTATGAGCTCATTCTGATAAAAATCTATTTTAAATTAGTATATATCCCATATTATTATATGCTTTTCAGTCTCAGCCCTCCATCTTAAGTTGGTTACAGCATCATCCCGATATGCCAAATAATCAATGAATGCATAAATAAGTGAAACACCAAATCAATATTTCTCTTTCTCTCTCCCTTCTTCTTGTTCTAAAATCAATAAAAATAATAATAATAATAATAATTCTGCTGGATCTTATGGATTTTCCTCTCACACCACACTAATCACTTTAGGAAAATAGGTACACCACAACATAAAAAGGTTTATGTATCAGAGATCAATGGTTGCCCCACCCATATCCATTCTCCTTTTCTTCTATGGGATCAAGAATTTCATTTTTAGTCAGACATATATTTCCAAGCCTCCCTTAGTATGGATACAGAATTAAGGAGAATTAAGGAGATATACCATAGAAATCTTTTTGTCTGATTAGTGGTGTGAAAGGTCAGAGCCAACAAAAATCTTTTAAAAGCAGGAATAATCAGGAGGCAGCTAATCAATGATTCTCCCTCATCACTGATGTTTTCTCTCTCTCCCTCTCCCTTGATTTCTAAAATCAATAAAAATATATTAATGTATGTAAATGACAGCATAGAGACTTGGCACATGGTAAAAACAACTAGCTATTACCTATATATATAAAAGCCCAGCGACTGAACGGCAGAATGAGCAGAACGAACAGTCAACCAGTCACTATGATGCGCACTGACTACCAGGGGGCAGACACTCAACGCAGGAGCTGCCCCCTGGTGGTCAGTGCGCACCCACAGTGGGAGCGCCGCTCGGCTGACCAGGATGAGCGGCACTCCCACGGAGGGAGTAGCCACTCAGAGGGCGGGTCCACAGCCACTTGGCTTACTGGGATGAGCAGTGCTCCCACAGAGAGCGCAGCCACTCAGAGGGCGGGTCCACAGTCCCTTGGCTGACCAGGATGAGCGGCACTCCCACAGCGGGTCGATCCCCACAGGCCATGCACCCACCAGTGCACAAATCCGTGCACTGGGCCTCTAGTTCAATATAAGTGGCATAACAGAAGTATGAATAATGTTTTATAACATTTAAATTTGAGAAAATTCATAGAAGTGGTTTTTGAGGTAGCCTCGAGAAAATGCAGTTCTTCTCTGGATTAAATAATTCAAATTTCCACATTATGAAAAACGCATTATTTCAAAAATATAAAACCTTAAAAAGTTGAGTTATCCTAATTTCTCATTTTAAATATGTTTTTATTGATTTCAGAGAGGGAGAGACAGACACATCAATGATGAGAGAACCATGACCCCCACTGGGGATCAAGCTCGAAACCCACAACCTAGGCATGTGCCCGGACCTGGAATCAAACTGAGACCTCCTGCATCATAGGTCGACGCTCAACAACTGAGCCACACAGGGTGGGCCTAATTTCACATTTTTATAGATTAATAATTATTGCATCATTTTTACTATTTCAACTATTCAAAATATATGAAACAAATAGTTGCCTCTACAATTCCAAAGGGATTTTTATTTTAAGGTATTTCTATCAGAAACATTAAGCTATGAGGCATTTGCTCATTTTTCATTTTAATCTAACAATATGTAAGGCTAAATTGTGTTTAATAAAATTTCAATTTAAATGAACAAGTAAGTATTTAAGACTCTGTTGATTATTCTCCATTTGTCCCTACAGATACATTTTCCACCCTTCTTTGCCTTATTCTGCAGCTCTGCCTCCCTTATCTCTAAGGATTACATGTGGAACAGAATGCTACACTTCGTTTACCAATCCCACCACAGGACTCCAAATACTTCTGCCCATTATATCTCGGTGTCAAGGTTGCAAAAGAAAACACAACACAGTCAAGTACTGGATAGAATAATGCTCTACTCACATAGAGAAGAAACAGAGCAAGGTCAGCACCAAGTGTGTGCATGGGTCCCTTATAGCTAGTGGGTGCTCTGACAGTGGTCAAAAGGAAACAAGCCTAGGAGCATGCTCTAACGCTGCAGCAGAAAGACCCCATCACCCCTCCCTCCACCCCACTCCATCCCACCCATGGATTCTAAAATACTGAAAGCTGGAGGCATGTCTGAGGACACTGACTGCTTTAAGCAGAACAAAGACCACTTAAAGAGCCTGAAGCAGGGACTGATAGTCCCATGAAGGTGATAAACCGAGCAAAGTCAGAGTGGCTCCTCATCTTTTAGTAAGGAAGTGTTGGAAGCTCTAGTAGGCAGAGCAAAGTCAAAAGCCTGTGCATGTGACCTTGCCTTTCCCAACAGGAAGCATCAGCAGAAAAGCAAAAAATGGAAGGAGATAGAAATAATAGTACAAATTATTCCCAGCTATGTTTCCTCGTTGGACACAGCTCCTATTTAGTGGCTCTTCTTCCATGCCAACAACTCTTGAGTTCTGGAATACAATTCCCATCCCCTTCGTTGCCCCTTTGCCTGGGTGGGTAACAGTTTCCAACTGTTCCAAGTCCCTGACAGAATTATCATCCCTTTTTTATTACCTAACCAGGCCCACACCTCTGCAAATAGTCCATTAAACTATCTTCAAAAAAAGCCATCCATCTGTTACTACCAGGACCCTCGCTGATACAAACATCACACTATATACTAATCATTATACTCTGTACAAGAGATGTAGTAGCATGGAACAAGACAAAGGGTCCTGTGTAGAACATAGTGGGAGTCCAATGTTTATGCTAACCTCCCAA